ATGTATTTATAATCTGACTTAATTGCTGTGCTTTTATGCACACTGTAAGGCATTCACTGTTAAAGGTACTAGCAGACTTACCTGTTGTGCTTGTCATTAAGTAACAGATAAGTGACAGAATTCCGCCCACACTGTGGTCCATGCTGTTAGGGGATGAGTAGCTGAAGCTTGGAGTGCTTTCTTTTGAAGCGTCTCTTGAAAAGAGAGAGAAAAGGATACAATTCTCCCGGGATCCTAACCTGAGGAATCATGCAGGAACGCACCTGATTGCATTATATTTTTATAAGGGCGCTGCCAGGCACAGCTGTGAGAAGGCAGTTTAAGTGCTGTGCTTAGAGTGTTCTGCCCATTAGTCGGAGACTGGGGAGCTGGCCTTGTGTGGAGGATGAGGTTGGGTTAAAGTAAATTGCGCTGTCCGTGGTGCTGAAACAATTGAAGCTGGGAACGTCTCGTAAAAACTTGGCTTACGTCCACAGGGATACAGAGAAATTGTTGAACCTTAACTTTGTCTTTCTTCCTTGGTTGATGCCCTGAAAAAAAAACCATATTCATATTAAAAAAGGCTGCTTTGCTAATTAACTCATCGAGGTCCTGCTACTCGTGTGATAGATGTACAGGTGAATTTAGATGGAGCTTTTTAATACAATTGTACACTTTAAAAACTGCGTAATTCTTTTTTAATGAATCTCTGATTATTATGCAGAACATTTATGGGAAGTTTCAGATAACTAACTGCAAAAATCAAAACAATGCAACACAATAAAAAAAAAATACACAAAATTAACCCCGGCGCTCAAATTCCTACTACTCCTGGGCGAAAGCAATGACTATAGTACACATCAGCCCTGATACATACAATAAAAACTAACAAAAAAGTAATTTGTGCAATATCCCAAATTCCTACGCACATTTAAAGGGACACTATAGGCACCCAGATTCATTCATCTCATTAAAGTAGTTTGGGTGCAGTGTCCCTGTTCTCTTAACCCTGCAGTGTTCCATTAAGGCAATGCTTTCCTTTTGGGGAGGCCTAATGCATGCATGGCAGTTGCTGCGCATGCGGTCTCCCCATCATCTGAAGTCAGCATAGACGAGAGTATCCCAGCACCAAGAGACCTCGGCAATGGAACAAAGAGTTAATAGCCACTGAGGGGGGCAGCGAAGGAGGGTGTGCTAGAGGGCACGATAGTGTAGGAATACAGTTTTTGTATTCCTAATACTATAGCTTTCCTTTAAATAACTGGAGGTTTTTTATAATCACTCCAACGACCATTAAAGTGTAAGCTCACCTGCCACGTCAATGAAAAACATCTGTAGGTGAGTCCTAAACTAACAATTCACCTTGCGTCTTTAAGCAGAAAGGCGAAATTTCTACTGAGATAAAATGGGATATTTTCCTAAACCCCTACATACATATTAAGCGTTAAAAGGGCACACATGGGGTGGGCGGCAGCACTGTAACATGGCTGTGTAATACAAAAGCAAACACACACATACAAAAATCAAGCACTTTTCCTTGACGTGGCAGGTGAGCTAACACTTCAATAGCCATCGAAGTGAAACTAAACAACTCCAATTATTTAAACGTGCACATGGATTTGAGATAGTGCGCACGTAACCTTTCACGGATTTTTATAATCTAATAATAGTCAGTTGTGACTTCATGTAACGCATAGACCTCCTCTGCACTTGACTGAAATGCTGGATTGAACACCGAAAAGTCACCAAACCATCTGAATATTGGTAAATGAATGAAATAAACATTCGATACCTTGGTGATCTTTGCTTATTAACTCTAAATCATTTACATGACAGTAGCAGACAAATCAATAATGAAATTGTCTCATTAATGTAAAACACTGGGCTCAAAAGGATTCATCTCAGCACATTTCATATTTGTCAAACTTTATTCAGTGCGTGGCTTTTTGGAACCATGTGACCACATTGTCACGAATTCCATGCGTAGTTCCACTGAATCCTTGGGCCCTAGTTGAAGAACATGCCTTTTCTGCTGTTATGGACTTCTGGGAGTCTATACCTGGCCGTTATTTCAATCGACATATATTGTTGTTCAGATTGTATCTAACTTCAACTTTATAACAATATAAATTTTGAATATTAACATAATCAGCAAAGCTTCATATTTTATCTCTTACAAGACTTCACCCAGAATATTGGGTCCATCACTGCAATACCTCATCTTCAGAAAGACATCAGTACACAAGATTCAAATAAAGACTGCTCGAATGACACTCAGTGTCTACAGCTTCTCAGAGATTTTAGGTTTCAATTCACACTTTATATGATTATATAGCTTGACCATGCAATATGTACTTTAAATAAACACAAATACAATCTACTCAAGACCACAACAGCCATTTATAAGATTATTTATCAGTGATGATTCTGGTGCAATAGTATACATTTAGTTTTAAATATTTTAAGGATTGCATAAATAGTTTTTGTGTGCTATCGTTACATATGTGATTCAGTCTAACTGCACTGATCCTCAATTCTCCATGACTGTCTCCATGACTGGTCACATGCAAAAAAACACCTTATATTATGTTATAGTATAAAGCTCATTTTAAACTGATTGTTGTTATATATTTGCTGGAGTGAATCTCTGTATAAGAAGATGCAGAGGATCTGGTATATCTCTATATAAAACCAAAGGGTTTTTTTAGATTTTGAATATTTGCCACTGCAAAATTTTATTATAAAATATCCTGTACAGCAAGCGAGCAAGGTAAGTAGGATAAAATGTGTAAATATAAACATGTAAATAAAGATACACAAAATAATAAAGCACTCTCTCTCTTTTTGAAACAACTCCTGCGTCCAATCCAAGTGTTTAAAAGACACAGGGCGTTTGGATACAGAATTCTGTTTCATGTTAGGATTCAATAAATGCAGATTTTCTCAGATTTACATTTATTTCCATGTTAAATGGATTTTATGAAGACTTGCAGTACTGAGCATTTGTTAACAGACATGTCTGCACTTTGATGAATCATTATACTGGGAAACAAAATGCTGACTAGGACATTTCTCTTAAAAAACAAGGAATTGGCACACACTAATTCCCTGAAATTAAATTAAACAAATTAGCTAAATACAAATATAGGGATAATACAGCTTTTAATGTATAGGGTTAATACAGCTTGTAATGTATAGGGTTAATACAACTTGTAATGTATAGGGTTAATACAGTGTGTAATGCATAGGGTTAATACAAAGTGTTATCTATAGGGTTAATACACCATGTAAGGTATAGGGTTAATACAGCGTGTAATGTATAGGGTTAATACAGTTTGTAATGCATAGGGTTAATACAAAGTGTCATCTATAGGGTTAATACACCATGTAAGGTATAGGATTAATACAGCGTGTAATGTATAGGGTTAATACAGTGTGTAATGTATAGGGTTAATACAAAGTGTCATCTATAGGGTTAATACACCATGTAAGGTATAGGGTTAATACAGCGTGTAATGTATAGGGTTAATACAGCTTGTAATGTATAGAGTTAATACAGCTTGTAATGTATAGGGTTAATACAGCTTGTAATGCATAGGGTTAATACAAAGTGTCATCTATAGGGTTAATACACCATGTAAGGTATAGGGTTAATACAGTGTGTAATGCATAGGGTTAATACAGCATGTAATGTATAGGGTTAATACAGCGTGTAATGTATAGGGTTAATACAGTGTGTAATGTATAGGGTTAATATCACGTGTCATGTATAGGGTTAATTCAATGTGTAATGTACATATTTAATACAAAGTGTCGTGCAGGGTTAATACAAAGTGTAATGTATATGTTTAATGCAACGTGGCATGTATAAGGTTAATACAAAGTGTAATGTATATGTTTAATGCAACGTGGCATATATAGGGTAAATACAATGTATCATGTATAGGGTTAATACAATGTGCCATGTATAGGGTTAATACAATGTGCCATGTATAGGGTTAATACAATGTGTCATGTATAGGGTTAATACAATGTGTCATGTATAGGGTTAATACAATGTGTTATGTATAGGGTTAATACAATGTGTCATGTATAGGGTTAATACAATGTGTTGTGCCCAACAATCAAAATTTTTTGTAAAAATAGTTTGTCTCGCTTTACCTATTGTACAGTAGCTCTGACCTCCAGCATTCCTGAAGTTTAATAATATGGGCAGAACATGCCTAATACATCATATAATATAATATAATATAACATAATATAATATAATATAACATAATATAATGTAACATAACGTAACAATATAATATAATGTAACATATAATATATAACATAATATAACATAATGTAACATATATCATAACATACCATAATATAATATAACGTAACATATAATATATAACATAATATAATATAAACCAACATAAAGCCACCTAGACCCTCAGCTATCCAGCTCCATAGTGGGGGTGCAGAGAGCACAAGACCCCTCAAACACCTGGAAAGACCGGGGGCTGTAGACAAGGCAGTTGAAATGCCGAGAGGGGGCTCCTAACATTCTAACTACTGTCAATTCCTCCAACTCACATCAATCTAAGTCATACTCTTCAGAAACCATGGACTGCCCACACTTGGCTCTGACAGGACTGGGGGGCTTGAGAGCAGAGCTCAGTCCTCACTATATTCAGTCAGCCAACAAAGGATTGGATTGATGGGAGTTATGGAATGTTACTGTATTACCATGCCAAGACGTGTGCAGGAACAAGCAGTAACACTATCTATGGTCACATTCAAGTCATAGTGTCTGTGAACTACACTGCACACTGTGAGCATCGTGGGACGGGTAGTCTAAAGCATAGAATATCTAGTCTGCATCATAGGATTTGTAGTCTGCATCATGGGATATGCAGTTTGCATCCAGGTGAGGTGCCAGGTTTGGCCATGGGATGTGATTCTATAGATAATAAGTGAACTTACCTTCAGAATGCTCCCAGGGTCACTCACCCCATGAAATGGACATTATCCTGTAACATGTATCAACCCTTCCTCCCCTCTGCTGATAAATACAAAATATCCACAGACAGACCCTCACACCTGGCAGCCAAGCCCAGAACTTCCTGCTGAGGCAGAGGATGCAGAAACGTTGTCTTGTTGGAGAGTTGGACCTGCTGTGCTGTACTCAGCCTGGGATTAACTGAGCTTGACCAGGGAGCCGGAGGAGGAGTCTCTCTGATGATGGAGGGATCTGTCACACCGTGACTCAGTGATGGTTACACTAGGTTTCCCTGTTGGATCAGACTGGATCAGGACCAGTCATGGTACCCAGAGCTCCTCACAGTTTATTATTTAACAACAATTTCTCACTCCTAAAACTGTCTCCAGTCATTAAAAAAGCCAATGCATGCACAGGCTGTGAGCTGCTTAATAAATAGCAGCATTAACAAGAGGAGTAAGACAGGGCGTTAAAAATGGGTTTTAATCCCCTGGTAGAAAAGAAAGATCGGAGATGACAGGAGAAGCAGGAGCGCCCATGTGTTTTGAAGAGTAGCATTTCTGTTAATGTAAATTGAACAATACCCCTGTTTGGACACTAGGTGCCGCCAAAGCACCACATTGTTGCTAGATGTGGAATGTGCACCCCTGCCCAATCAGTATTGAAAGGAGACTGTAAAATAAAACACACAGGTTAATAAGGAATTGATTTCATTGACCAGCATGAGTTAATACACAAGGTAGAATTGTATAAAAAGTAATAAATCAGTTTATGAAAGATTTTTTTTTTTTAAATTGATTTCCAATTTTAACTCTTCAGGGTTAGTAAATAGCCGAGCTATATCCCAGATATACAGGGTTAGTAAATAGCTGTATCCCAGTTATACAGGGTTAGTAAATAGCTATATCCCAGATATACAGGGTTAGTAAATAGCTGTATCCCAGATATACAGGGTTAGTAAATAGCTATATCCCAGATATACAGGGTTAGTAAATGGCTATATCCCAGATATACAGGGCTAGTAAATAGCTATATCCCAGATATACAGGGTTAGTAAAGAGCTGTATCCCAGATATACAGGGTTAGTACAGAGCTGTATCCCAGATATACAGGGTTAGTGCAGAGCTGTATCCCAGATATACAGGGTTAGTGCAGAGCTGTATCCCAGATATACAGGGTTAGTGCAGAGCTGTATCCCAGATATACAGGGTTAGTGCAGAGCTGTATCCCAGATATACAGGGTTAGTGCAGAGCTGTATCCCAGATATACAGGGTTAGTGCAGAGCTGTATCCCATATATACAGTGTTGGTACAGAGCTGTATCCCAGATATACAGGGGGTTAGTAAAGAGCTATATCCCAGATATACAGGGTTAGTAATGAGCTGAATCCCAGATATACAGGGTTAGTAAATAGCTGTATCCCAGATACACAGGGTTAGTATATAGCTGTATCCCAGATATACAGGGTTAGTAAATAGCTATATCCCAGATATACAGGGTTAGTAAATAGCTATATCCCAGATATACAGGGTTAGTAAATAGCTATATCCCAGATATACAGGGTTAGTAAATAGCCGTATCCCAGATATACAGGGTTAGTAAATAGATGTATACCAGATATACAGGGTTAGTAAATAGCCATATCCCAGATATACAGGGTTAGTAAAAAGCTGTATCCCAGATATACAGGGTTAGTAAATAACTATATCCCAGATATACAGGGTTAGTAAATAGCTGTATCCCAGATATACAGGGTTAGTAAATAGCCGTATCCCAGATATACAGGGTTAGTAAATAGCTATATCCCAGATATACAGGGTTAGTAAATAGCTATATCCCAGATATACAGGGTTAGTAAATAGCTATATCCCAGATATACAGGGTTAGTAAATAGCTGTATCCCAGATATACAGGGTTAGTAAATAGCTGTATCCCAGATATACAGGGTTAGTAAATAGCGATATCCCAGATATACAGGGTTAGTAAGTAGCTGTATCCCAGATATACAGGGTTAGTAAATAGCTATATCCCAGATATACAGGGTTAGTAAATAGCTGCATCCCAGATATACAGGGTTAGTAAATAGCTGTATCCCAGATATACAGGGTTAGTAAAGAGCTATATCCCAGATATACAGGGTTAGTAAATAGCTATATCCCAGATATACAGGGTTAGTAAAGAGCTATATCCCAGATATACAGGGTTAGTACAGAGCTATATCCCAGATATACAAGGTTAGTAAAGAGCTATATCCCAGATATACAGGGTTAGTAATAGCTATATCCCAGATATACAGGGTTAGTAAAGAGCTATATCCCAGATATACAGGGTTAGTAAGTAGCTATATCCCAGATATACAGGGTTAGTAAAGAGCTGTATCCCAGATATACAGGGTTAGTAAAGAGCTGTATCCCAGATATACAGGGTTAGTAAGTAGCTATATCCCAGATATACAGGGTTAGTAAAGAGCTCTATCCCAGATATACAGGGTTAGTAACTAGCTATATCCCAGATATACAGGGTTAGTAAATAGCTGAATCCCAGATATACAGGGTTAGTAAATAGCTGAATCCCAGATATACAGGGTTAGTAAAGAGCTATATCCCAGATAT